TGAGTGAAGCTACAGCGGTCAGAGCTGTGACGCCTAATACTTGTGTAGTTACATGTGGAGGCATGTGTGGCGATGTCTGGTGTAGCGTATCAGTGCAGGGTGGAGGGAAGCGGATGCCGGCAGGTGCGACCAACACTAATCCCTGTTTGCAGTCCAGCAGTAAGGCTGTATTTATCCAGAAAGAGAGAAATAAATAGATTTCCTGTTTTCTCTCTGGGTTAATACAGCCGTCCTACAAGACTGCAAAAAGGGATTAGTGTTAGGCGTGGAGTCAGGTGTGAGCTGACAGACCTGGACTGAGCTCAGCAACCTTCTAAAATATTATGAATGTGACTCCATCATTACTTTGACTTATTTAGCCTATTTATATTCATTGGAATTGTCTTGTAAATGTAACTTTGATCAACACTTGATGTCAAATGTGTTCTATCAGTAAATTTACTTTTACAACTTGATTTGGTGAAAATGTCCATCTGCAGTCGTAAAACTCAGGAACCATCAGGCTCAAGGTTTTATTTTAAATTGTTTTTGATAATTGAATCAATTATTTAAAGGACATATTTTTAAATGTTCCAGAAAAAATGAATAAACAAAGTGTAAACGCTGTGAGCTTGTTCTTCTCCTTCAGTGGTTCTGTTTATGTTTTAATGTTTGAATCTGCAGTGAAATCAGCAAGGATGGACCTGAGTAAAGAACGACGATGGCCGAGGACGTCGGTCTTTGCACTGCCAAGCAAGCAGAGACCAGGAGACAACGTGATCATACAGAGTGCGGCAAAGCACATAACACGACAGGGAAAACTCATGACATTTATTAATTTAGCTGACGCTTTTATCCAAAGTTGCTATATTTGTCAGAGGTCGCACGCCTCTGGAGCAACGAGGGGTTACGTGTCTCGCTCAGGGACACAATGGTGTACGTGCCACAGTGGGGGATTGAACACCAAAGGCATGTGTCTTATCCACTGCACCATCACCCCCCCTCATGAATATAGATAATGCTGAAACACTGAAGGTGAGATAATGACCTGCTGATAGGCGGATGGAAAAATGGAGTATATATACTGCTGAATAGATCAGCTGACAGGTGTGCAGACAGGTCCAGGTGAGCTGCTGTCATCAGGAGGAAGCGCTGAGAGAAATAACTGATGACAGAAAGAAATCCACAACACCTGAACTGCTTCAGAAAGAGGAAACTTCCACTGATCTGATTCAGACTGCAGTGAGTGTTGGTGGAAATAATAATGTCAGACTCAGCAACAGAAAGTAAGTATATTTATAAAGTACTGTACTTAAGTACAACACTGAGTATTTCCATTTTGTGCTGCACTTTCTACCTCTGCTCCATCTCAGAGACTGGACTGACTCCACTACATTTATCTGACAACTTTAGTTACTAGTTACTTTGCAGACATAGATAATAATATCTGTAATACCATCAGTCAGCTGCAGTCTGCCCACCCTGACGCATTCTGCATTGTCACTGGGATTTCAAGTCTGTGTTTTACCAACATGTGGACTGTGTAACAAGAGGAATAACACACTGGATCTTGTATACACAAACATTAAAAATGTGTATAAAGTAGCCCTACTACTCCACATGGGCAGCTCTGATCACTTCACTGTCACGCTAACGTCTGCATATAGACCCAGACAGCAGCACTGAAGGACATCAGACTGGGCCTCAGGAGGCTGCACCTGCACTACAGGGCATTTTTAAGGATGTTGCTTCAACAGTGGTCGGCAACAGGCGGCACGCGGGCCAGAACCGGCCCGGCAGCAATAATATCTGGCCCGCGGCCAGATTGCTTTGATAGCAGAAAAATAACTGACTGAAATAGATCAGTCATGACAGCTGCAATGGGAAAAACATGATTTTACTCACACAATCACTTCCTCTTAAGAGACTGTGCCTGTAAAATAAAAGTGCTTTTGCAGCAATGCTTTATGTCGAGTTTATGAAGAGTTTTTACTTTGAAGAGTTCTGCAGGACATTCAAAATAGTCTGTGGCCTGCTTGACACACCTCTGAAAAAGCCGTTATTAAACGTGTGATTGGATTCCCCTCAATCTCCTCAGGGAAATTAAAATAAGCGTCCATAGGTTTATGAATGCGGAACAAATGTCCGGAACGTGCACACACTACAGCACATGCTCACAATAAAGCATGTGCTGTAAAAGTGTCCTTTTATTCAATTTGTTTAACAAGGGAGAAAAAACATCCGCAGTAAGGTGGAAACAACCTTACAACCCACCTGAGCTAATCATGCACATGAGCTGAAATTGTTTGACTTTGGCTGTTTCTCAATACCGAGTTCGCCGAGTTCGGACTTCTGTACTGTAAAGCTCAGACTTGGCAAGTTTGGCTCGGGAGTACAAACTCCCAGGAACAGGAGCACACAGTCATTCAGCAATTGGACCCGTTAGCTAGCGGAACCTCACATCTCCCACAATGTAGAAGCAAATTTTTAAATCAGCTCCTCTTGTTCTGGCCCGCCATATAACTTGAAAAACATTTGACTTATTTGCCGACCCCATAGACGTACAGAAATACACAGAAGTGTGATGTGATTTATCACTAAATGTATTGATGATGTGGTCAAAACTGTGTGCGGCCGACAGGCCATGGCTGACAGGAGAGGTCCATTCGCTGTTCAGAACCCGAGATGCTGCCTTCAGAACTGGTGACACTGCAGCAAGAAACTACCTGCACAGAGGGATCAGATCGGTCACTTCACCGATAACAAGGCACCTGTGGAAGAGATTCCAGACAGTGACAGGCTTTAAGCCTTCAGTAAAGACAGACTGTGATGATCCCTACCTTCCAGGTAACCTCGACACCATCTACTCTCGGTTTGAGGCCACCAACAACAGGCTGCAAAAGACGACACCATCATCCATGGACCAGGTACTTCATCTGTCTATAGAAAGTGTCCAGAGGGTTTTTCCTAAATAAAGTCTGCTGGACCAGACAACGTACCAGGTCGTGTTCTGAAGAACTGTGCAGACCAGCTGAAGAACCTCCCTCTGCCAAGCTGTAGTGCCCACCTGCCTCAAGAACGCCACCATAGTCCATGTGCCCCAAAACAACAACCCTGACTGTATGAATGTCTATAGCCCTGTTGCCCTCACCCCAGTAGACATGAAACATTTTGAGTGGCACCGGTACATTTACATTTACTCATTTGGCAGACGCTTTTATCCAGAGCGACTTACATTTGAGGAACAACTTACAAGCCAGTAATAATTACATCCGCAGTCCAGCTTCTCTGTGAACATGCTAACTCCAACATATAGGCCTGTTTGGGAACCAATATTTGTGACGGACAACATTAAAGCCACCCGGAGAGCCGGACCCTGTAAGACTCATCAGATGGTCTGTTGTGATGCTGCTGCGATGCTGCTGCTTCTGTTTCTTTTCAGAAACATCTGTTTTAGCCTGTGTGAGTTCACATTTAGTCAGACTGCCCCCATTTCAAGTAGCTGAATTAGCTGTTAGCAGGTAGCGTGGTTGTACAGACAGCTGTCACTGTGATACTGAAGAAAGATTTTCAGGAAGTCTCTCTCTGGGTTCTCAGCTGATTTCTGGACATTTGTTCTGGACTGACATCAGACATCATGATGTCCTCAGGAAGTGGAGGTCACGCTGAATGATTGAACATGTGTTTGACTTCAGATCTGACAGAGTTCTTACTCTGAGAAGTAGGAATGAGATATCTGACTCCGATTCACCTCTTGAAGGATGAGGATGTGGAAGGGTTAATTCCTTTCTTTTGTCTTAGTCGTGCTGAGTGTTGCAGACCAGATCCTGTCATTTCACCAGGGTTAAAATGGACGTAGAGTTAAATTACTGCCCTTCCTCCACCTGTAATGTCCATCCTGTCTGAGGGGGCTTTAGCTGAACGTCTCCTGACAGTTATGCATCCACACTGGGCGGCTGTGATAAAGTCTTCCTCCTCTCAGTGCACAAAATAACTCTGCTCTTTGTTAAACTGATATTTTGAGATCCTGCGGTCAACAGCAACCAGCCCACATCAACCTGTTGCTAGGTTACCATGCCAGGAGGTTGCAGTGCTGATACGTAACTAGAGAGATAGGAGAACATCTGATGTACGAATGTGAAAGGATACAGGGAGCTGATACAGGGAGCTGATATAGGGTTACCACGGGGTGATGGAAGGGTACAGAGAGTTTGGGGTATAGAGGGGTATAAAGAGCTGATAGAGGCATATAAAGACATATAAAGGGCTGATAGAGGCGTATAAAGACATATAAAGAGCTGATAGAGGGGTATAAAGACATATAAAGGGCTGATAGAGGCATATAAAGACATATAAAGGGCTGATAGAGGGGTTATAAAGACATATAAAGGGCTGATTGAGGGCTATAAAGACATATAAAGTGCTGACTGAGGGGTATAAAGACATATAAAGGGCTGATAGAGGCGTATAAAGACATATAAAGGGCTGATAGAGGGGTATAAAGACATATAATGGGCTGATAAAGGGGTATAAAGACATATAAAGGGCTGATAGAGGCGTATAAAGACATATAAAGGGCTGATAGAGGGGTATAAAGACATAAAGGGCTGAAAGAGGTGTATAAAGACATATAAAGGGCTGATAGAGGGGTATAAAGACATATAAAGGGCTGATAGAGGGGTATAAAGACATATAAAGGGCTGACAGAGGCGTATAAAGACTTATAAAGGGCTGATAGAGGGGTATAAAGACATATAAAGGGCTGATAGAGGGGTATAAAGACATATAAAGGGCTGATAGAGGGGTATAAAGACATAAAGGGCTGATAGAGGCGTATAAAGACATATAAAGGGCTGATAGAGGGGTATAAAGACATAAAGGGCTGAAAGAGGTGTATAAAGACATATTGTCAAGTGCATTCACTTTAGTGAAGTTCAACCCTGCAGTTTCCCCCACTTGATAGGGTATGCTTGCCTCTGAAGGTTTGGACTGGATTTTACTCAATGACCAGGAATCAATTCTTTCTTTTCCTTCTTTTATTTGAAAGTTGTCGTAGCCATAAGCAGGTAAAAAACCTTAAATACAAACACAAGTAAATCAATGAAACACATAATAAACTCAGGTAACCATAATAAACATCACCATCCAACATCAAAATACTTATTTTAAATCACTGCTCACATAATTTAACTTTAAATCCTAACAACTTTAACCCTCTACAAACACAATCCTACACTTACAGTTTTTCCCTTTTAAACTTTACAATACATTACTTTTAACCATGCTTCAAATCTCCATGATGTTAAATGTACAACACTTTAGTTTACAATTCAAACACATGGTTTTATACAAACATTTTTACCCTAAATATAATTACATGATTCACTTTAATATTAAAATCCACCACATTTCACAAACAAACAAACGCTCACCGACTCCTTCCTCGTTCAGACAAGCTTTAGTCCTGCAGTCTCATTTTTTCCCAGTTCCTCAACACATCTTCCCAGCCTGCTTTCTATCCTGTGAATGACTCCAAATCTCCTAATTACCAGATCCTTCCCACCTGGTGACTAACTAGCTGACTGCAGCTAGGCACCACAACCAGGGAAAAAAGGGCGTGGTCTGCAGCTCAGCTTGACACCTCCCACTCGATCTTCCCACGGAAACCGCTGGAGAGATCGCACACAGTGAACTAGTAGTTAGAGATTTTCTCCTGGACTCCCATCCTGCTCCTCCACTGGTAGTAGGACCACCAACCGTCGAACGTCCCGGTGAAGAATTGTGGACTGAAGGTCCCCCCGAATACTGGAGACGCGATGCTTGGATGCAGGGAATTTGGATGCTGATGTTTCAGGCCTCACCTCCGGGATACAGGAGCTCACCACAACTCTAATATTCACATCCCGCACAATGTTTCTGGAGTCAGGGTTGACACTGATGACTCTTCCAAGCTTAAAGTGGCCCCTCAATGCATTCTGATCACAGATCCACACAATATCTCCAGTTGCGACATTCCTCTGTGCAGTGTGCCACTTGCTCCTCACAAAAAGATTGGGACCAGCAAGTTGGCTCCAGGATCTCCAGAATTTGTTGACCTGATGCTGCATTTCCTGGAGCCTCTTATAGGGATAACTTGTGAAGTCAAATGTTTTCCAATCACCATTTGCAGATGCTCGTCCCAGCAGGAGTGTATTGGGTGTGATGTACTGCACTGTATCTTCAAGGCTCTGCACCCTGGCATCAATGGGCCGCTCATTTGCCAGATTGGCGGCAAGCTGAAGCGTCGTCTGAAACTCGCTGAAACAGAGCCCTGACTCTTTTCCCAGACTTTGAAACGCCTTCTTCACCATCCGAACAGATGCTTCAGCAGAGCCATTCCGATGAGGTGAGTCAGCTGGCAGGATTGTCCAGTGCCAGTCAGTTCCATTTTGAGCTGAAGTATCCTCTACAGCAGACTTATCCAGGCTGTCCAGGAACTGATACAACTCCTTCAGAACAGACTTGGCACCAACAAAATTAGTCCCAGGATCAGACCATATTTTCTTAGGGTGCCCTCTAATTGTCGTGAACCTCTGATAAGCCATCAGGAAGCTTTCCGTTGACATTGTGTTGGCAAGCTCCGTGTGGATTGCTCTGCTGGCCATACAGCAGAATACGACTCCCCAGACTTTCATTTTGACTCTTTTCCTCACATCATCTTTGACCTGATAGGGTCCAAACAGGTCAACTGCTGTAAACTCAAATGGAGATGCTGGCCTGGTTCTCTCTTGAGGCAGATCTCCCATCACCTGCTGACATCTTTTCACTCTGGCTTTCTTGCAGACCATACATTTCTCAATAACTTTTCGAGCAATTCTTTGTCCCTTGATGACCCATGCTCTTTTCCTCACCTTCAACAGAGTTGCAGCCACACCCTCGTGACCCTTGCTGTGAGCTTCCTGAACCAGCAATGTTGAGACCCAGGCGCTGTAAGGTAAGAGAGGGACACCAACTCGGTCTTCATTAAAGGCTTGGATTCGTCCACCACAAACTAGTAACCCGGTTTCTTCCTCTTTGAAGACTACCAGCCGATCTATTGTGGTTGCTGGAAAGGTCACCCCCTCTTGTGTGGCAAGGAAAAGATCTCTTAAAGCATCTTGGCGCTCCGTTGTGGTGATGACCCTAGCTGAGGAAACCGCCTCCCACTTTGGATCTCCCAGGATCTTATTTTTAGCTGCAAAACATTTTGCCACCCTCCAGACCCAGGCGATCGTCTTAACCAGGCGAGTCAGATTGCTAAACCGTCCTTCATCCACCAGATTTCGGACAGCAGCACCAGCAGGTGGTCTTCGATGCTCCAGATCTGGTGGCTCCCTCTTCACCTGAACTCTTGTGAGAGCCGCAGCAAATACTTTCTTCTGCATCCTTTCAACACTCTCTCTGGCAGCTGCTGATACATCCTTTGCAGACTTAATCGGCCAATCCTCAGCTGGTAGGCTCAGGAACTTTGGTCCTTTCTGCCATGGTGAATTTTCAGCCAACTCTTTTGGGCCAGCCCCACGAGTAATGATGTCAGCAATATTCAGAGATCCAGGAATCCACCACCAATCCTGAAGTTGTGTGCTGGTCTGGATTTCTCCAATCCTGTTGCCAAAAAATGTCTGGAAGCCATAGCTCTCACGTTGAATTGAACAAAGTACTGTTTGGCTATCAACAAGGTGGTACCACTGCTTGACTTGAATTCGACCATGTCGTTCAAAGTACCTCTTTAATCGGGCGGCGAATACTGCCCCACATAGCTCTGCCTTGACTGCTTCCCCCTTGTGGTCTAGGGGAGCTAGCTTAGCTTTAGACTCCACCAGCCTCACAATCGGACCTTGGTCACAGTCCCACCGCAGGTATAGGACGGCACCGTAAGCATGATCACTGCCATCAGAAAGAGTAATTGCATCAGGCTTAGCTGGCCCGCTCACTGGTGTCAGGGCTCTAGGGAACTTGACTTTGCTCAGCTCAGCATATTCTTCAAAGAGGCTGATGGCATCTTCTCTGAGCTTCTCTGATAGAGCAAGGTCCCAAGTGTCTCTGACGGTGCTACATTTGGGTTTGGCCTCTTGAAATGCTCTCCGAACCAAAATGGCTCCTTTCTGCTTTACAGGTGTCGTCAGACCAACCGGGTCATACAGCCCAGAAACTTGGCTAAGCAACTCTCGTCGGGTCAGTGGGTCTGGCGTCTGAGCTCTCACCTCTTCCAGTTTAAGGTCTTGGCCAAGTCTCATCTTTCTCCTCCTCTTTGAGAAGTTTATCCCAACCATAACATGAAGCCTGTCACCCTCCAGGGTGTAGCCGAGGCCAAGAGCTTTGTTGTCGTCCTCCTTGAGCTGATTTGGGAGGATTACAGTCTTTGGAGTAGCCTCCTGCTCCTGTTTTCCAACAGACTCCCTCCTACTTTCACCAGAAAAGACCCATGGCTTTAACTTGAAACCTCCCGCCTCCGGAATTTGCTCCACATTTTCTGTGATGACTTTGAGCTGGTCCAAGTTGTTATGAGAGGTCAGGATATCGTCGACATAGCTGTCCTCCTCTAACACTCGACGCTCTTCCTCAAGATGGCTAAACTGGGGGAGATTTGCTGTCTCTCTCATGGCGAGTTGAGCGATGCAACCTGCAGGCTTGTCACCAATGTTAACCCTTGTGACTGCATACTCGCCCAGCTCCTCCTCCTCGGAATCACGCCACAGAAACCTATGCAAATGTACCTCCTGATCATCAAGCCACACTGAATTGTACATTTTCCTTATGTCTCCCAAAGCCGCAAAACGTCCCCTCCGGAACCTGAGAAGCACAGCACGAATAGAATTGAGGACGTCAGGGCCCTTTAACAGGAGATCATTCAGACTCACCCCTCTGCACTTCTGACTACTGTTCCAAACCAGTCTCACCGGAGTTGTGACTGAGTGTGGGTTGGGTGCGATGAGGTGGCTAATGTACCAGACTGGGCCAGTCCATGTCTGAAGGACGTCTTTAGACAACTTCATTGCAGCTCGGCGCTCGACCATCTCGTGAACTTGAGCAGCATAGGCAGCTTTCCACTCCGACTCCCTGGTCAGCTGTCTCTCAGTCCTGAAGAAAGTTGCCTCAACTGCACTCCTGTTGCTTGGTAATGTGGCTGGATCTTCTATCCAGGGGTACTTGGCGTGCCAGTGAGGCCTCTCACTGTGCTCATCAGCAACTACATATGTGAGCCCATTCTTTACCACCTCCAACTCCCTTTCTTCAGCGAGGGTCATTTCTTTGCCGCCTGGGTGGCAGTTTCCACAGCGACAACCTCCACATTTTGGAATGCAGCCAGCACCGATACTTTCCCATTTCCACCACTCGAGGAAGCTGGATGTTGTAGTTAAACAACTGAATCCCTGAGGTTGCTGGCTTTGTTGACGATGAATGGGGACCACGCAGGTGTGTTCTTCATACTTCACAGCAGCAGTTCTCATAGACCTTGCGAAATGCGTTCTCGATGTGTGAGCTGATACAGTTACCGCCTCAAACAACTCAGGATGGGTGCCAGCAACTGTCTTTCCCATCGGTCCGTCCCACAGCACAAGGTCCCCTACCGTGCGGATTTTCTGCGGGGCCAGCTGGCCTTCCTTGTGACTCACAAGGAGATGGATCTCCCTCGGTCTTGCCAGGTCGCTGAGTGGAATGTCTGGGAAGAACTCTTGTAGTTTTTTAGCTGATACATGTCTTTGAATGTCTGCAATGCTGTCTAGGCCATAGCAAACCAGCTGATGAGATCTAAGAGTGCCTCTTAAAGTGCTGACCCGAATTTTCAGGAGGTACCGCTTTGTCTTAACAAAGACTTTCATGCCTCCTACACCATGGACTACAAGCGTGATGTCTTCACTTCTAAGATTGAGCCGACCTGCTGCCTCATGGGTGATATAATTAGTATCAGAAGCTAGGTCTATAAGAGTCCCAATTTTCTGCCCAGCATTTGCGGTTACCTCCAACAGCATCATGATGACTGGCCACTCCGCTAGCCCGCTCTCTACCAGAAGACTTGAATGACTCTTTGCAATATGTGAAGTGCTCACTGCTGTATTACAGAATGCGTCCCGGCATTGTTGAGCTAATTCAGGTGAAAGTTTTCCGAAGAATTTTTCCTGAGCCTCGGTGTAATTCCTCCAGCTCTCACCTCCCACTGTGCTGTGTTTTCTCCTCCTCTGAGCCATACTGTCTCTGGGTGCCTCAGCACTGGGACACAGATAGTAGTGATGGTCTGTGACTCCCTGCTTCCCACAATCGGGATTTCTGCACAAAAACAAAGTTTTGCAGTGATTACCCTCGTCATGGACCTCCAGACATTTCCAGCAGGCTCCCAGCTTCCGCACTGCGTCCTTCTTCTCTGTGAGCTTGAGCACACGGAACCTTTTGCAGAAGTACAGCTTCTTCTTATGCTTGATGTCCCCACAGACACCACATCCAGAGAGATTGCTACTTAACTGGTTTGAGGCTCTGGTTCTAGCTTGCCTTTGCTCCGGTCGGTTTTCTTTCCTCAGCGGCTCTTCATCCCTCAATTGATCCAGCTGTTCGTAGATACTCTCTTGACTCTTGAGAAAGGCCAGAAGATAGTCAAAGCGCTTTTCTGGGTCAGTACTGCTTCTCTCAGCTGCATAGAGGAGCCACTCTTTCTTTAGTGCATCCGGCAGCTTGCTCTCAATTGACTTTGTCACCAGAGGGTTCCTTAAAGCGCCAGTGTCACCAAGATCACTCAGATCTTCAAGGGCTTTCTCCACAGCTTGGATGAGCTCAACAATTTTCCTGGGCTGGTGCCCTCTGGCAGCTGGAAGTCTCTGGAGCTCCTCAACTATCTCAACAGCGATCGCAGTTTGGCTTCCGAACCGATTCTCTAGCACACGAAAGATGTCTCCTGCGGTGTTATAATTCATCAATCGAAGATCTCTCATTACTTTCTCATCCAAACTGTCAAGAAGCTGGAACTTTTTGACTTCCTTTGAACCAGTGGGTTCTCCTTGCCTCTGGAGGGCCTCCCAGTCCCTTTTCCAGCGATGAAAGTCTCGCCTGATGCCAGTAAACTTAGGGAGGGAAGTAGGCTTCAGTCTAACTGCTGCTGTTGGATAGTTGATAGTAGCTGCACTCACAACTCTTTCGGCGTCTTCTTTAGCTTTTGCTTGAATGAACTCTGCTTTTCTTGACATTAACTTAGGGATGATCTGCTCAAGATTTCTGACCCGCAGCTGAAAATCTTTCCGTTCAGCAGGGGGAACCCAACACTTCCACTGTGTATGCAGCTCTTTTGCCCTCTTAACCAGTTTTTCCATGTAATCAAACATGAAGTCAAAACTCTCTTTACTCCCATCAGGTCCAAAGGACACCACACACTCTACTTTCTCCTCTGCAACCTTTACTGCCATCGACAGTTCCTCTTCTCCAAAGTTTGCCCAGAGTGTCTTTTGGATTAGCTCCTTGAGCTCGTTCAGTCTCGTCTCACACTCACTTGTAGTTTTCTCGATGTCGGCCTTTTGCTGCTCATTCAACCTGGGAACCTCTTCGGAATCAGTATCCAGCTTTGCCTCTACAAGGTATTGGGCCTCTACATCATCGTTGGCTTTTTGAAACTGTCCCTGAGCTCCTCTTCAGGTGTGATGCCATGCATCCGGACAACGTTGTTAGCCAGTCGTGAGAATTGCCGCTTTGCAGATGTCCTGTTAGCTTTAAGCTGCTCCAGTGTCTTTGAGTCAGCCATCTTCTTTTCAGCAGGATTGGGTGAGATGATTTCCCGTTTTATCAGGCCAGGCTGGTTGCTGTTCAGGATTCTCTGCTCCAGTCTTCACAGCGGTTTTTTACTGTCAAGTGCATTCACTTTAGTGAAGTTCAACCCTGCAGTTTCCCCCACTTGATAGGGTATGCTTGCCTCTGAAGGTTTGGACTGGATTTTACTCAATGACCAGGAATCAATTCTTTCTTTTCCTTCTTTTATTTGAAAGTTGTCGTAGCCATAAGCAGGTAAAAAACCTTAAATACAAACACAAGTAAATCAATGAAACACATAATAAACTCAGGTAACCATAATAAACATCACCATCCAACATCAAAATACTTATTTTAAATCACTGCTCACATAATTTAACTTTAAATCCTAACAACTTTAACCCTCTACAAACACAATCCTACACTTACAGTTTTTCCCTTTTAAACTTTACAATACATTACTTTTAACCATGCTTCAAATCTCCATGATGTTAAATGTACAACACTTTAGTTTACAATTCAAACACATGGTTTTATACAAACATTTTTACCCTAAATATAATTACATGATTCACTTTAATATTAAAATCCACCACATTTCACAAACAAACAAACGCTCACCGACTCCTTCCTCGTTCAGACAAGCTTTAGTCCTGCAGTCTCATTTTTTCCCAGTTCCTCAACACATCTTCCCAGCCTGCTTTCTATCCTGTGAATGACTCCAAATCTCCTAATTACCAGATCCTTCCCACCTGGTGACTAACTAGCTGACTGCAGCTAGGCACCACAACCAGGGAAAAAAGGGCGTGGTCTGCAGCTCAGCTTGACACATATAAAGGGCTGATAGAGGGGTATAAAGACATATAAAGGGCTGATAGAGGGGTATAAAGACATATAAAGGGCTGATAGAGGGGTATAAAGACATATAAAGGGCTGATAGAGGCGTATAAAGACATATAAAGGGCTGATAGAGGGGTATAAAGACATATAAAGGGCTGACAGAGGCGTATAAAGACATATAAAGGGCTGATAGAGGGGTATAAAGGGTTGATGAGGGGGGTGTTGGTTGACAGATTGTATAAAAGAGTATAAAAGGTTGACAGACAGGTTGATTGAGAGGTATACTGGGTTCATAGAGGGGTCAAGAGTTGAGTGTATTGTACCTGCAGGCTGCCTCGGGGACAATACTCTGTGATGATGCACATGTTTGGCGGGTCGATGCAGGCGCCGATGAAGCGGGTCAGGTGCTCATTCTGAACGTCTCGCATCTGCAAGAGCACAGAGGTTGCTGGTTCAAATCCCACCAAGACCTTTAACATCCTACAGTCAAGGCACTGATCCCTAAATTAGATAGTCATTGGTCAACCTAGGAAGGTAGGTCTGTCGGTTGGTAGGTACACTAGCAGGTAGGTACATCTGTTGGGGGGCAGGTAAATAGGTAGTTAGGTAAGTAGATCAGTCAGTAGGTTGCTAGGTAGGTTCAAATTCCACCAAGACATTCAACATCCTACAGTCAAGACACGGATCCCTAAATTAGATACTTAGTCCTAATCCTAAGTAGGTAGGTCCGTAGAGTTCTTACATGTTTTAGTTCAAACAGAACCTTTCTGGTCAGTTCGATACGTTTCTTGTTGATGTATTTGATGGCTGCCAGGTTTCCCTGCAGGAGACAAAATCAGCCTGATTACCACACTTTTCATTAAACCATCATGTTTTTCCCATTGCAGCCGTGTTAGCGATCTGATAAGACTGCTAGCTGTCAGGAGTATGTTAGGTGTTTTTTGTCAGCAAGTGGTTTACGGTGGTGTCAGACCTTGTAGTATCCAGTTTTGGTGTAGATTTGGAAGTTCCCCTCCATGGTCATCAGGGAGCCACAGTTGGATCCTTTCTGCGGAGAATCAATATGAACTAATTATACCAGTCAGTAGTGAGTGTAACCCATTTTAAACTACTTCTCCTCTGTGTGTGTTAATGTGAGTGTTACCAGAGACATGGTGAGTCGGCTGCAGGTTCGCCTAAGGACTTTATCCAGGTTGCTCATCTGAACGTCGTCCCAGGAAACTCTCCACAGCTGGGCCGCCAACTCGCTCTCTAACTTCAACTTCCTGTTCAACAGACAGGTGTGTGTGTGTGTGTGTGTGGACAGTGAAAGTGTTTGTAGAGTCCATGTGTGTGTTGGAAAGTGGAGAAGGGAGAAAACAGAGGGAAAGGTGAAAAAAAGGATAAACAAGAAAGAGATGGGTGAGTGGGACACTGAGACAGAAACAGAAACAGACAGAGATAGAGACAGAGAGATCTACTGTATGTTTGTAGCGTCCAGGACTGTCCTGATTCAGAGTCCCGGGTCAGAGATGGGCTCAAATCGTACAGTGTATGCCCAACTTGATGGATGCGCTTTTGCCCGTGTTTTTACTATTACTTCATCTTTAAGCTGGAGAGCTTAAGAGTAAATTAAAAGTAAAGGAGAACTGTTTATTTAGCACAGAATGTAGTATTGGAAGAGTTCACTAGCATCTTGGCTGGTATGGTCAATTTTATCTGAATGGTGCGGATGTTCTGGTTCTGATGTACACTTATTTCTGGCTTCAGCAACCTCTCGTCAGCTCGGTCACTTGGGTTAAGTTCATCTGACTGTCGACTCCAGCGAGGAACTGGACATAGTGGGCAGGACAATTACTATATTCTGATGTGCACATGCAGATGAGTTTGTGATTGTGATTGTGTTTGAGTTTCAAAGTGTCAACGTTATTTTGTCTCATCTTATAGAGGAAGTTACACTATGGACATCAGAAAAAACAGAGGCGGCAGTGAAGTCTTACATTTTTGTACCAGTTGTTTTGTGATGTTTTATTAAAAAGAAGATTCAAAAAGATACGATGAACAAGGGGAGGAAAAGATAAAACTGAGAGAACTATCCCAGAAAGCAGCAAGATCCAGAAACTGATGCCTTCCAGTAAAACTACAGACTTACAGAATAATTTCAAGCTTGTTGAATTTAAAGGGTCAGTTCACCTAAACTTCAACATAACTACATAAACTACAACATTTAAGTTTAAATAAATGCATCAGACTTATGAAGAACACTAAAAGTATGTGGAGCTAAACAACATTCCATTCTGGGACCTTTTTTTATCAGTATAATGATATTATCTGCAAATAGAAAACTTCTTTGAATAAAATTTTGACACAAACTTTACGGACAAATAAAGCTTTAAAACATTTTGCTATTGACCAGAAGGTGGTTGTTCAGTGCCTCCTTCTACGGTACTGCAGTGGTGGTAATGAAGGAGGGGTAAGCTCAAGTCGTTCACTTTTCCCACACATTTATTCTGCCATCCAGGGATCAAACCTGTGACTTTCCGCAACGGATGAACCGTTAAACAGGGAGGAGGAAAAGAGAAGATATGGAAAACATAACCAGAGCAGAAAACAATCTCAGGCAAGTTTACTCCTCTCTTTACAAATCCACCCATATATCCTTCATCCCTTCATCCTCGACCTCAATGTGACCTCTCTGTTATTACAGAGACAGACAGTGAGAGAGACAGAGATACAGAGGATGGGTGAAAAAGAGAAAAACAGGAAGATAGAGGGGCAGAGAAAAAGAGGGATGAGGGAATACATGAAATGACAAAAGAGAAATAAAAAATAAAGAGAGAGAGAGAGGTGCTGTGAGAGTGCAAACCACCACCAAGTGTGTGTGTGTGTACATCTATCTTTGTGAGGACCCACTTGAGTTTTAGAAAAAGTGAGGACATTATTGTAAAGTGAGGACATTAATAGAGCCCAACCGATTTACCGTTTTGCAGATATTATTGGCTGATATAAGCTACTTGCAGATATATCTGCATCAGCGTTTATAACAGCTGAAATGACAATTAATATAGAGAAATCACTCATGTCATGAGTGTTACATAGTTTTTCCACCAGAGGGCGCTCTGTTACCAACACCGCAGCACCACAGAACAAAACATCAGCTGACCGCAGTCTACCAGAGCTCAGAGCCCCTGTGCTGGAGGTAAGGTGAGGAGCTCCCTAGCTCCTTGTAGCGCTCACACTCACTATTTACGGTGAGTTGTTAATTTCTCACGTCAATTACATGACTTAAATAATAATAAAAACAGCCCTTATCACTTCCCCTCTCCTAGAAACATTCATAACAGACTTGCTAACCCTCCTGTTTTCAACTGCACTCTCCTGGGTCACAGCAGGATGTTTCATGTTACAGTAGCTGAGTGGTGGAGGCTAACGTTATGCTGACAGACGTGATTGTAGATTTATTCTGTGCGGCACTTCTGGTGAACGGTCCTCTCATTTCTCCCTAGTTCATTACTTCGTTTATTAAGTCTTATTAAACATAACGTACAGCAGCTAACACTGCCCGTTGCTAAATTAGCCATAAAACCAATGCCATGTTTATCAGTGGAGGAGCGCTAACGTTAATGAGCGATTAAACTATAGTGTTTGACGTATTCTAAATATATCTGCAAGCTGCTTGTCTCTAGTTACAGTCGGCATGTCAGAAATGATTAAACCAGAGCGGACTTGTGAATAAACGTGAGCTGAACAAGAATCTAACATGGCTTCCTGCCTAACAAAGTTCTCTAACGTTATCTTTTCTTTTGATTGTGAAACGTTAGTGTGAAATCTCAGAGTTGCAGGTCCTCCTTGTATACAGTCATTTAGTATTAGATTAATTAAACATATATATATATATATATATATATATATGATTATTTGCCTATGTAGAAGAACCCTGTTTATCATTATTATAGCAATGACATTAGATATGATATATGGTATTATTCGTAGTAGTAATAGCAGTACTAGTATATGGGTAATTTTTATAGTTTCTGGCTTGCTGACCCCCACAATACACTATTTACTATAATGTTCATTAGTGGTAGTACTCCATAATTAATTTAAATTTTTTTCTGTAGATTTATTTGCCTCTTATTCATCAAAACCTAAATATATTTTGTTGTATTTTTGTACTATTTATAACAATACAAACAAAAGTTTCTTTTGTCTCAACATAACATTTTAGGGATAATCTTTGTTTATGTCATGCCTTTCTTAAAATAAGTTGAAAAAACAATATCGGCTGATATATCGGCTATCAGATTTTAAAAAGCTCAAACATTGAAATCGGTATCGGACTTAAAAATCCCTTATCGGTCGGGCTCTACACATTAACATAAATTACATTAATATATAGTGAGGACATTAATGTAAAGTGAGGACATAATTATAAAGTGAGCACATTATTGTAAAGTGAGGACATAATTAAAAAGTGAGGACATAAGTAAAAAGTGAGGACATAAGTAAAAAGTGAGGAAATTATTATAAAGTGAGGACATTAATGTAAAGTGAGGACATAATTATAAAGTGAGGACATTATTGTAAAGTGAGGACACAATTATAAAGTGAGGACATCAATGTAAAGTGAGGACATAATTAAAAAGTGAGGAAATTATTATAAAGTGAGGACATAATTATAAAGTGAGGACATAATTATAAAGTGAGGACATTATTGTAAAGTGAGGACACAATTATAAAGTGAGGACATTAATGTAAAGTGAGGACATTATTGTAAAGTGAGGACATTAATGTAAAGTTAGGGCATTATTGTAAAGTGAGGAAATAATTATAAAGTGAGGACATTAATGTAAAGGGAGGACATAATTATAAAGTGAGGACATTAATGTAAAGTTAGGGCATTACTGTAAAGTGAGGACATAATTATAAAGTGAGGACATTAATGTAAAGTGAGGACATTAATGTAAAGGGAGGACATAATTATAAAGTGAGGACATTATTGTAAAGTTAGGGCATTACTGTAAAGTGAGCATGTTATTGTAAAGTGAGGACATAATTATAAAGTGAGGACATTAATGTAAAGGGAGGACATAATTATAAAGTGAGGACATTAATGTAAAGGGAGGACACAATTATAAAGTGAGGACATTAAGGTAAAGTGAGGACATAATTATAAAGTGAGGACATTAATTTAAAGTGAGGACATAATTGTAAAGTGAGGACATTAATGTAAAGTTAGGGCATTATTGTAAAGTGAGGAAATAATTATAAAGTGAGGACATTAATGTAAAGGGAGGACATAATTATAAAGTGAGGACATTAATGTAAAGTTAGG